TATTTTTTATTTTTTTTTCAAATTTTTTTTTTAATGTTTTATTTATTTCTAGGAGAGAGAGAGAGACAGCGTGAGCAGGGGAGGGTCAGAGAGAGAGGGAGACACAGAATCCGAAGCAGGCTTCAGGCTCTGACCTGGCAGTCAGCACAGAGCCCGACGCGGGGCTCGAACCCACAAACCGCGAGATCATGACCTAAGCGAAAGTCGGACGCTTAACGGACTAAGCCACCCAGGCGCCCCTAAAAAAATTATTTTTAATACATAGGTACAAATGAAGAGCTGAAAGTTACTCATTTTTTTCTTATTTCTTAAGATTCTCCTAAAAGTGGAAAATATAAGGCTGATTTGCTTCCAAGATACTTGAAAGAAATGTGTTTTTTACAGGGATTTCAGGTGGGTTGTGGTGGAGCCCTCTGTCAGTTGTGTAGTCAGACTCCAAACCCTGATCGATGAGGACCTTGCGGGGCTGATCCAGGAGTGATTCAGCTGTTAAACGATGAACGGCGCTAACAGCATTATGTTTCCCTGTAGGTAACCTTTCGTGTGCAAAGCCATACTCTGCCTGTGCAGAGTCATCTTGAGTAAATTAACCATTAGACTGGAGGCTTCTCTGCTTTTAAAATGTGATAGATGTGCAGCGATAACATAGGACAATTAACATAATATTCAGCCTTCTGCAAGAGTTTAAATTTGTTTTTTGATATTTCACATTCTATTATGTTGCTAGTCTAAAATACTAACTCTGACCAGTTAAATGTGAGCTTTAGGAGAACGGTAAAAGTATTTTCCTGCTCACGTAATGCTGATCTAGGGGCGATACCATGTGGTCCACACTGTGGCAATGATGCCCTTTGTCTTCTCTCTTAACTAAGTTTTTAGAACACGAGATCTTTGTTCCAGTTTGGGGTGTGCACTGATTTCTTAGGGACGTGGTGGCACGCCAGGGGCTGACTTTGAGATGGATGGGATGGCGCCGTATCCCAGAGATAACGGGGTTCTCATCCGTCCATGCACCCATTTAAGAAAACCTTACTGATCTTTTCTTGATTAAGCAGAAGAATACCGTATTTACCCTTTATTGTTGGTATAAACCATTATTTTACTGAGAACCATTAGCTATTTAAAACTTGGTACATAAATTAAAGAGGAGCTAAATGGATTTGTGATCGTTGCCATTAGTAGCATTTTAGATTATACAGGCAATTATTGTGTTCATTATCCGAGAACAGCCCCTTTGCAGAACCATTGTGGTGTCTTAGACATTATGCACAAATTTTCCCTTGGAGATTAAAATTTCCAGTAGCGTATTTAATTTTGTTATCACAGTTGTTTCAAATAAAACAAATATTATGACAAGTAGAAGAAAATTTGCTTTACTAATATAGGAAATTACAATAAATGTTGAAAATTGCTTGCTAGTGTACTTAATTTACCTTTTCTTCTACAGTCAAGATTACGTAGAGTGATTAATAATATATTTGGTTTTGCAGTTAGAGCAAAAGGTATTTGGTTCAGGTGTTTCCAGAAACTTTTTAAAGAAGGAAGAGATTCACATCAAAACTGAAGCTACCATCTTCTTTGTAAAAGCTGTATGCTTACAAGTTAACTAGTTTTTATACTGAAGAGTTAAGAGTCCAGATTGCGTTTTAGGTGAGTTGAAGAAACTTTTAACTGAGAAATGAGTATAAAAATATTAACTATTAGCTCAGAGTGGACTTTTAAAAAGCTAATTGTTGAAATTTTTTCTCACTGTGTTTAGTTAGAATTGACACGAAAATGCAGACCGCATGGTATACGCTAGAGCTTGGTCACAGTGATTTTCCAGGAAGAAGAGAGTTCAGGGCTTCCTGCCAGAATGCAGGGAACAGCCGGTTAGGGAACAGTTGTGGTTACCTCCGCACACGAGGGAAGCTGGAGGCGGCAAAGCTGGCCTTTCTGCTGGAAGGTGCTGGAAAGTGCGGGAGGAGCTGGGCGCTGGCCAGGGGAGCCGGCCAAGCCTGCTGGTGCCCGCGGAGTGTCTGCGTGCCGCGTCGGCGTGCAGGGCTGCGTTCGTTCCCATCCTACATGTGGCCTTTCTCAAAGGAAACTTTGTGTTCGCTTCTGGCTGTTTCTGCCCGGCTTTTCCAGCCTTTCACCACTGAGACGCAGGGAAAGTGGAGGCAGCGGTCATGCATTTTGCGAGACAGTCATTCTTTATTTTATTACAAAAAAAAGACCAACTCTGGAAGGCCCGATTAAATCATCCCTTTCACTTTTTAATGGGATTTGGATGAATAGAGTAAAATATGCACTTTGCATTCATTGATAGCATCTTTAGGCTGAGGTAATTGAGTCTTCTTTCCCTGACTGAATGAGTAATGACTTCATCTGACCCTCAGCGAGGCCTGACACTTAGGCCCCCTTTGTCACAGCAGAAGGATCTGGGCTTTGAAACATGCTCTACTTCCTCGGCTTAATTTTTCTTCATTTTAATCCAAAAACCTATTTTTCTCCATAATTCAAGCATAAACCATGGAGTGGTTGGAGCAGCGGGAAATGGCACGATATTTGTCCACGTCATGCTGCTTTTTAAATGCAGTTGATAAATCAGGCGCCGTGGTCTTCAGCTGCATGCCCCTCCGGGGAAGCCCAGCCCTGGCAGGGCAGCCCTACCCGAAGTTTCCAGAACCTGGTCAGGGCTCCTCTGCAGCCCGCCTGGGTTGGGGGAGGCTCTGTTGCAGGGCTGCCGGCGAAGGCCGAGTGTGGACGTCGTGCCCCGCGAGGCCCCTTGGCCCGAAGGCCACCTTGTGCACAACGGGAAGGCTGGAGGGCCGGCTGCGGCCGCAGGACACTGGAGAGTGCGGAGGGCCCGGCACTCCTCGCTCCCAGGTTAAGAGGCCGTCCCTGCCCCCTGCCCGGACAGACCAGACCACCTTCCAGCAAGTCTTGGGCTTTCTTCCCAGGGATGGGAGCACAGGTGTCAGAGGGGGGCGGGGTCTGGGGAGCAGGTGCTTGTCACAGGCTGCCCAGGGCACAGACCCTGCAGCGTCTTGGTGGCTGTGCAGCTAGAACACAACTCTAGACCAACGTCAGTTGTTACTTCTGCGTCCGTGTCGTTCCCGTGTTTATATATGGGCTGTTCCCGGGGGCGGTGAAGTGGTCACTCGCAGCAGTGTTGACGGAGTGTCTGTATTACACCGGGTTGGGGAAGGAAACTCCTAATTTCATTATGTATTGCTGGTGTTCGTCTTAGATTTCCTACCAGCCTGGCTGTTTTATGCAGTTTAAGTCTCACTTTTGGCCCATTTTTCATAACCTGTCATAACTCTGCAGGGAGGAGGAAATGTAGGGGACATTTACATGTATTTATTCAATGAGTGAATTTTTTTGTAGCTACGCTTAACTAGATTTCCTGACAGAGCTTTGTGTTTTCTTCCTAACTACATGTTCTAATGTTCTCATGCAAGTTTGTGGCAAATGGTAATCAAAACCAGATGTGAACCGAATTCATGAGACGTGGGGAAAGTACCTTTTTATTGGCTGAAGTTAGGGATTTTCAAAAATAAACTAAGTTACTAATTAGCTCAAACTACAAACTTTTTAGTTTGCGAATTACAGTATCCCTTATATTTTATCAAAGTTATGGCAGTCACTTTCTTTTTGTTTAAATTACCCTCTTTCAAAACTTGCATAGATTCAGGGGACACTCTGGTGATGGAGACCCTGTGTGCCGTCAACGCCCTGGGCGCCGGGCAGGCAGTGTGCGGAACGTGCACCAGCCGTGGCTGACAGTCACCAGGAGCGCCAGGGTGCGCTCCGGGCCGCAGGGAGCCCGCCTCGTCTGGTTAGCAGGTGGGGGGCGCCAGCGGAGAGATGAGGAAAGTGAGGCTCACCGAGCGCAAGGCGACGGCCCCACAGTTAGGAAGCACGGATCGTGTCTGAGTGTGGCCTCATGCCAGGGACAAGGACAGAAGAATGCGCGTATGGGCCCGCTCTGGACCAGGAGCTGTGGTGCATCTCATTTACCCCCAAGTCTCGTGACGAGGGCACTTTTCTAACCCATTTTTCAGATAAGAAAACAGGCACTCGGTTCTCCCAAGGTTATACCGCCAGCGTTCAAACTCGCCTACCTTTCAGCTCCTGAGGAAATGTAATCGCTGTGCGCCCCCTTCTCCCCCTGTAGTTCTGAAGCCTTTTTGCAAAGCCCGAGACCCCACGCCTGTGTCCACCCGCACGCCGTACTGCGCTGCGGTCCTTCAGCCGGGTGACTTAGCAGGAGAGGGCTTCGTGCAGACCGCCGGAGCTCACGATCCAAGCTGCGCGTGTGTGACTTGAGGCATGAACGCTACTTCTTAACGTTTCCGGGATCCCACCCAGAATGCACCCAGAAAAGAGCTCATTCCCACGGACATGACTTCCCCTCACGTTTTGCTCAGCAAGTCCACAGTCCACAGAATGAATTTGGGGTGTGTGTGCCTTATTGGGAGAACGAAAAGTGTAGGATTTGTGTAAATTAAAAAAGGAATCCATTCAAGCTAACTGCCCTGTCTGTTGCTTTTCTGCTTAATTAAAGAGAAGTCCTTTCAGAGAAGCTCCTGGCAGAGGGGCGGCAGGCAGGCTGTGCTCTCCTGAGGTCTCCATCGGAACCAGGTCCTGCATCCGGCTCACGCGGCCGCTGTCCCAGCCGGGCTGGGGGACACGCCCCCACACCCTTCGCGCTGCCCTGCTCGCCACGGCCGGCTGTCAGAGCCCCCCACCTGGGGAAGGGTCTGAGTTCTGTGTTGGCTGCTCTGGACTCCCGCTTTCTCAGCGGGCCCTTTCTGGCAACACTCTGCGATCATGGCTCCTTTTCAGAAATTCTGCTTAAAACTTTTACAAGGCTTTTCAGGAGGAAAGTAAAGTTAATGCCTTTTTGTATGGTTATGGTTAAGGTCAGTACAAGAGGAAATTTAGGATGTCGGTCATCACTGTTATGTACGGGGACTTCATGGTCACGTCTTCATTTTATGTTTGTCTTTCAGGTTGGTTTGTTGGACCTTGAACTCAACCATCTGACCAAAGCACTGTTTGTGGCCTTAGTTGCCCTGTCGGTTGTCATGGTGACCCTGCAAGGGTTTGTGGGCTCCTGGTGCCGCAACCTGTTCCGGTTCCTCTTGCTCTTCTCCTACATCATTCCCATAAGGTGGGCTCGGCAGTGACGGTAAAACGAGTTTCTCTGAGTGTGATTGTATTGAAATGTGTCTCAGTGTGAAGAAGTCACCCACACGAAGCCGAAGTGGGCGGCCGAGCGCCCCGACGGCCCCTGAGGAGAGCGCCCTGGGAGTGGCGTGGGGGGCAGAGCCGCCTTTCTTAGACTAGTTAGAAATCTGAACCTTTCTCATCTATGAATGTGTTGATAATAGAATACTCAAGAACTGGGGGGTATTTCTCGGAAGAGTTTCGTTTCCTGCCAGTAGACTCCCTCCAGGGGCCTCGGTCTGTGCGCCTCGCTGACCTCGTGCTGCAGGAACCGCCTGGTGTCGCTGTCAGCTTAGACCAAATATCCAGGAAGACAGTCTTTCCGTGTGAAGTGTTTCAAAATGATAACCTTGTAACTCAGCTTGGGATATAAGTAGTTACCAGGTGTCCTTTTACAGACTAGTATTTACGGTATAAATGTGTCTGAGGCTGCTCTAAAGTATTTCCACAAAGTTTATTTTGAAAATAAACAATATATATGAACGAACATTTTTACATGAGTCAGCAGTTAAAACCTGATAAATCACACATAAAGCAGGAAGCTAGAATAACCACTTTCTGGAACAGAACAGGGAAACGGTGCGGAGGGCGCCGGAGCAAGCGCCTTGGAGACAAAGGCACGTGTCTTTACAGACCCGCCCCCCCCCCACAGCGTGTCCGGAGTGAGGCCCCGGGACGGGCGGCCGCCACTTCCGCCCCGGCTCCGCCGGGCACCGACCCCCGTGCGGCCTGCTCTCCGGCTCCCGGGGCTGCGTGTGCCCCGCGGGCCTGCGACGCAGCGCGGCCGCCCGGGCCCTTGGCGCTTGCGAGCGGCGGGCGTGTCCCGCGGCCTCGTCCGTACCGCGTAGACGCGTGCCGCGTGCCCGCGGCGGCTCTGGGGACAAGGCCACGTCTGTCCCAGACACTCGCCGGGTGAGCGGCCCCCTGACCGGCTCGTGGGGGTCAGGGCCCCGGGTCGTCCCCCGGCCCCGAGCCGCGCGCTGCGCGTCGCCCAGGGTCAGCGCGGGGCGGTCGGGGCACCGGCAGGGGGGGCACCGGCAGGGGGCGCGCCGCTCCGCCCGCAGCGCGCAGAGAATGGCCTGGAAGGAGCGGGGCTCTGCGGCCGCGGCGAGGCTCGGCTGCTGGCGTTGCGGCTCCCGGCGCCGGGGCCTTCCCCTCCCCGGCCCGCCACCCGCCACCCGCTTCTGTGGGTCTTACCTGCCGACGCCGCTGGCCCGTGTGGCCCCCGAGGTCGGGGCCGCGATGCCGACCCCGCTTCGAATCAGCCTCGGCTCCACGGCCTGTGCGCGCCCCTCCTGCAGGGGAGGCGGCCACGCGGCTCCCGCTGCACTTGGTGCTGGGGGGGCGGGGGGGGCTCGGGGCCGCTGCCCGGCGTGGACCCCGCTGCCCGGCGGGAGCCCCCTCGGGCCGGCGTGGACCCCGCTGCCCGGCGTGCACCCCGCTGCCCGGCGGGAGCCCCCTCGGGCCGGCGTGGACCCCGCTGCCCGGCGTGGACCCCGCTGCCCGGCGGGAGCCCCCTCGGGCCGGCGTGGACCCCGCGCGCGGGCCTCTGCTTCCCCTCCAGCCGCCCCCGGCCGCCTCGTGCTCCATCTGCGCGGAGCAAACACGCCTTTTTTCCCCTCTAAGCAGTTCCCGTGTGTTTTGTGTTGTGCGTTTCTTTCTTTCACTAACCACAGCTTCTGTGTGTTGCTGTCATCGGCTCTAAGGTGCTCGCGCCGGGCCCTTTTCAGCCTCGCTTCCGTCGCCCCGCGCACGGCCTGCCGGGGGGCTGCGCTGCGCTCTGGGGCGCTTCTCTGCCGAGCCGGTACAAACCTATCAACGCGACCCACTTTTTTATAATTCTTTAACAAAGCGTCCCCGTCTTTTTCTTTCTTTAGTGTGATTATACTATAAGGAAACTTGACATTTTAACTTTTACCAAAGTAACAGGAAAAATGAATTGTAGTCCTGAGACAGAATACACTGTGAGCATTTTTAAAGTATTTATTTATTTTGAGAGAGAGGAGCAGCCGGGGGGCTCCGTCCGTTGAGCGTCCGACTTCGGCTCAGGTCATGATCTCCCAGTTGGTGGGTTCGAGCCCCGCGTCGGGCTCTGTGCGGACAGCTCGGCGCCTGGGGCCTGCTTGAATTCTGAGTCTCCCTCCCTCTCTCTCTGCCCCTCCCCTGCTCACACTCTGTCTGTCTCTCTCTCTCAGAAATAACATTAAGAAAAAAATTGAGGGAGAGAAAGCGAGTGGAGGAGGGACAGAGAAAGAGAGAGAGAATGCCAAGCAGGCCCTGCACTGTCCGTGTGGAGCCTGACACCGGCCTTGAATCCAGGAACCTCGAGATCACAACCTGAGCTAAAATCAAGACGCTGGTGGGATGCTCCACTGACTGAGCCACCCAGGTGCCCCTAAGCATTTTTAAACTGAAACTAATATTCATTGCTCATTTTTGTACTTCGGTTGTATTATGTTTATAGTAAAAAATTAGGTAATACCTAATAATAAGAAAAGGAAACAAGTATCATCTATAATTTTAATAACTTGATAAATACTGTAAAGTTTTTCAGATACGTGTGTACATACAGACTTAGAAATATGATTGCATGTTTATATATATAGCAATATACTAGCATTTACACACTTTTTTTTTAAAGCCTGTACAGCCCTTTTAAAGTTTGCTAACAAAATGGGGAAGAAGTAAGCTTTCTGTCTGTGTTGCTCTGATGTCTCAGTCCCCATTTTTAAAAAAAAAAAAAGTTTTTAATGTTTTTATTTATTTCTGAGAGAGAGAGACACACACAGCATGAGCAGGGGAGGGTCAGAGAGAGAGGGAGACACAGGATCCAAAGCAGCTCCAGGCTCTGAGCCGTCAGCACAGAGCCCGACATGGGGCTCGAACCCACGAACCATGAGATCAAGACCTGAGCCGAAGTCAGATGCTTAACCCACTGAGCCACCCAGGTGCGCCCCCCCCCCCCCATTTTTATACTTAACATGTTTGGTCAGGACTTACTAGACGGAATTATGATTGCAGACTTCTGTGTGGCTGCAGAATATCTCACGCCTTCTTCAACATGATCCTTTTCCTCATTTTTTACAGTCTGAAAATGCATTTAATACATATTTAGCAGAAGGGATGAAAGCCATAACATGTAAAAAGTACAGGACACTGATTTAGGGAATTTGTGTTTATATTTGATTCAACCAAGTTTATTTTCCTTTTGCAGAGTTTCCATAAAATAGGAATAATAGTATATTTTAGTATTTACTAATTATGTTTTTCAGTTTAATAAAGGATAATTTTTTTTGAAAAGTGCACAGTTTTGGAAAGTAAAGTGCTTTTTCCTCTGTTGACCTAATATATTTTTTTAAGCTTTTTTTTTTTTTTCCTGAGAGTGTGAGCACACGCATGTGGAGGAGGGGCAAGGGGAGAGAGAGGAAGAGAGAGAGAGAAATAGAGAGAATCCCAAGTAGGCTCCACGTTGTCAGCACAGAGCCTGAGGCAGGGCTCTACCTCTCAAACCAGATCATGACCTGAGCTAAAGTTGGACGCTTAACCAGCTGAGCCACCGAGGGGCCCCGACCTAACACATTTTTTTAATGGAAGTGTAGCTGACACGCAACGTTACCTTAGTTTCAGGTGCACAACGCAGTGACTGGCCACGTCTGTCCCTTACAGAATGCTCCCTGCGAGAGGCTGTCACCGTACAAAGTCACTACAGCGTTGCCGGCTCCGTTCCCGTGCTGTGCCTTTCATCCCCGTGGTGTCTGTTTTATGACTGGAGGCCTGTACCTGTTCATCCCCGTCATCCCCGCCTCCCTTCCCTGCCGCCACCGCCCTTGTTCTCTGTGATTATGGGTCTGTTTCTGTTTCATTAAAATGCTGTACAAATTTCACAAAGTTAGGTTGTTTCGTAGAAATTTTTCTTTACAGAACAAAATATTTTTGAGTCACCTGGTAGATCTTACTTAGTCTTTCAAGGAAACTGTTGCAGGATTTAACTCCTGGAACTGAAATGGATACACGTTCCCCGATTGTGCCGCTCGAACCGTCAGTCCTTTGCTGTGTGTGCAGCGGCCCGTCGGGCACGTGCCGGAGCTGGTCTGTGCAGCCCTCTTTGGTCCACGAGCTTCGAAGCGCTGCGTCCCCCTCTAGCTGCTGGCCCGGAAGACTGTGCTGTTGGGGTGGGGACACAGGAGGCACACGTGGGCGCCAGAGGGGAAGTGGCGCCCGACAGTGATCACGCTTCTTCCGCGAACACTTGGGAACCTTCTGTCCTTCTGTCCGAAGTCCTGCGCTCACTGGGGTGTGGCTGGCTTGGGAGGCAGGCTTTTCTTCTCACTTGCCCTGGTCCCATGGGTGCCCCCCACTCCCGTTCCACCCGCGGCTGCCCGAGGGAGCCAGCACCCAGTGCTCTGCTCAGACCCCTGCTCGCTTCGCACAGTGAGAACACGGTATCAGAAGTTGGGTGGCACAGGTACAAAGTTTGCTTCAGAACTTAGAGATTAACTTGCTTAACATCTCAGTACGGCCTCCTTTTCCGTTGAGCGTGCTTGGGGAATGCTTGGGGAAAAGAGTGTTTCCGACCTAGGAAACCACTTGACGGTTGGGGAAATTTGTAGCCTGTGCAGATTGCGAAAGGCGAATGTGAGAAAATTCAGGGTTTGGAAAGCACACCCAGGAAAGAAGGCCCAGGGTGTGGCTGGACAGCTTTTTGCTGAAGACGTTACGTGTGTGACTCTCGGGCCCACGCAGCTGTGTCAGCAAGAGCCCGGAGTGGACGGGGGGAGCCAGGAAGGGTCTGCGCAGAGGCCTCGTGTCCAGTGGTGTGGTCCCCGTGACACACAGAGGCTTTGAGAATCTTGTATCAGCAGAAACGCCATCAGCGTGCACTGGAAGGAACGGACAGAGGATGAAATGAGAGCAGCCTTTTGGCTCCCGAAATCCTGTAGGCAG